CCCACATTTTTTATGTAGCGATAATCATGCCAATTGCACTCATATCTTGGTTCCACTATTAAAATTTAAAGTTTGAAACTTTATTTTTTGGTTCGGAAATATTTCATTAGGTAGCAATATATGAGAGTTAGTATTCATTTACACATATTATTTATATAAAATTTTAATAATTTATCTTTTTATTATAAATTATTAAGATTTGTTACTACTTTTTAGAAGAAAAAAAAGCTAATCATCTTTAAAAAAAAAAAAGATAAAAAATTGACATTTCACAATCAATCATAGTGAAAAATATTTATATATATATATATAGTAGAGATGATTCAGTAACACAAGTTTTACATATTATATTTATATAAAACTTCAATCATTCATTTTTACATTTTCAGTAGTTGAGATTTATTCAAATGGGTCAAAGATAATTATTTTTTCATCTAAAAAGTCATAGTAAATCACAATTATTAAAAATAAAAAGATGAATGGTTGGATTTTGTGTAAGTTTAATATATAAAATTTACGTGTAAATAAATTTTTACTTATATATATTTGTGACATGAAAATCTAAATTTTTAACCTAATTAATCTTATAAATATCTACAAATAACCTCTTTTGCTTTATACATTTGATGGTAAACTATATACCTTCACCCAAATTCCTCCCACCCAACTAACTATTTAAATTTGATATATTCTAAACTGAAATTCCATTTATTATCTAGTTGATTCACTCTTTTGGAACTGCAAACGGCCTCGTCCATAAACACCAAACATGTTTTACCTACAAGGGTAGCAAATGTGGCCCATTAAGGTTTTTACTCTCAAATGACAATAAAAAGACTAGGACCTAGTTTCTTGAACCAAACATAGAGTCTAGCTTGCCCCCCTTTTTTTTTTGGACACATTTTTTTTTCATTATTCGTAACTCAAGACGATAATCTTCCAAAATATGAGGACAACTAAAAAAAAAAAAGGAGAGTCAAAACTAAAACTTCTAAATTTGGTAAAAATGAAACTAAAATCTTTCTTCTCTTTCTGCCCTGCTGAGCGCTGATGACGCTGTCAAAACAGATATTTCTTTCCCAATTTTTATTCCCTTATCCAGACAAGCCTTTTTCACCACCCAAATTCGGGTTAAGACACATCAAGCTTTTTCTTTTCCACGTTTTGATGAAGACACATATATCCAGCTTTGATTCGCTGTTTCTGAAAAAAAATAACAACAATGAAAAACATTTCCCGAGAAACAAACAGTGCCAGACAGATGAACTCCCTTTGGTCTATTTTTAGTTCCATTTTATAACTCCACGTAGTTATTCCAGCTACTAATTAATAATCATTTAACTTGTCGGAACGCAGTGCTGCCGCCACACGTGGAGGTTGTTGGGGTGGTGATGGTGGTTGTGCTGACTCATTAGCAGCTCGTGACACCTCCTCAACCCCTCTCCAGTCACCCGAAAACCCCAATTCTCTCCGATTCCATTGTCTCCCGTTCCTTCTATTTCCTCATTTTCTTCCTGTAATTGAAATTTCAATTCTTTATTTTCTTCTAATTCTTGCTCTTCGTCAATGGGAAGGAAATAATGGTCGTTTCTCACGAGTTGCAATGTTAGGCGGCCGCCTTCACGGTGGGCGCGGAGGGTTTCTGGCCGGTCTATCCGGATCTCGGTGAGTTCCAATCTCCCATCTTTCCTTACCGGCCGGAGATAAAAACTAGGCTGTCCGTTCTGATTCAACGACGAGAGGGGCGGTGGGAATTTCTTCTTCCTCTCCCTCCAACGTTCAGACCCACTCTTCGTCCGCCTCGCCGTACTGGCACCACTCGTCGACGCAGCTTTCGACTCACAAAAACCCATCCCATCATCAAACCTCCTCTCGTCAGAGCTCTCAAACCCCAAACTCTCCGTGCACGACATCAACCCATCAACCCCACCACCGACCTCATCAATAAACCCAATTCCACCAGGGTCCTTCTTCTCCGGCACCGCCAGCAGCGGCAACGGTGGAGAAAGAGCAGCAGGCTTTAGAACAGAGGATTCAATAACATTAGGCAGGCGCTGAGCGTCGCTGGTGATTAACCCCAGCCCGCATTTGCTAGACTGTGACTTTATAGGTTCCGAAGGAACTCCGGGAGTACCTAGAAAGGAATTCACGCTCTTTTTACAGAAAACCATCATGGTTTGTGAAAAATATTGAAACTTTGATGAAATTTTTCAGAGGGAAGGAGGAGATCGGAGGAATGGGGTGACGGGGTAGTTGAGGAGAAAGTGAAGGGAAGGGGATGTTTGTGGGTATTAATAGAGGGAATGAAGATAGGGCGCAGGGAGAGAGGGTGGAGTAGAGAGTGCCAACGTGAAAATGTGAGCTGGAGTGATAGAGGAAACGGTGCGGGTCCCTGAAAAGGTGGCTTAAGACCTGGCTAACTTATGACCTGTTTTCTGCCACTCTTTGTGAGTTGGATTTACTCGTATTTCATATTTGGCAAAACCCTCCATTGCAAGTAGTAAATGATAGATAACGGATGATTGTAGTCGAATAATTGATAGTGAATAGAAATAACTGATCATAGATAGTAAATAATATATGATGAAAAATAAATAATAAATAGTAAAAATTATTATTATTATTATTTTTGAACATATTGGTAAGGGGCGGTTCGAAACCGTCCGGGGGAGGTGGAAAATGTGTCACTTACTGACATCATGTCAGTGGGTCTCAAGGGCCGAGTGCAATAGTAAAAATTATTTAATTAAATAATAATTAATGATTATTATTCAGTGTTAAATAATTAATAAGAATATATTTAAAAATAATTAAATATATTTTTATATAATTTATTTTTAAAATTATTAATTTTATAAAAATAATAAGAAAAAAATAAATAAAATAAATAAATTATAATAATATAATCACACACTCATTGCTATTTTTAATAAATAAAAAAATTTTAATTATTTTTTCTAATTAATAAATTTTATTTATTAAGCTAATATATTTTTATGATAAATCAATGTAAAAAATAAAAATATAATAATTACTTAATGTTATTAAAGATAAAATAATAAAGTTGAAATTAATTAGATAATACTAATTAAAAATTGTGACAAAAAATTTAAAAATTAAAATGGATAAATTTATCAATAAAATTAAAAAAATTTAATTTGCTAACGATTTGGTATAAAAAAACTAAGTTACCTTTCTCAATCCATTAATGGTTTAGACCCTTATTGTTATCTATTAGTTCTAAACTGTTAAATAAATATTTTTTACCAAAAACCTTATTTATAATAGTTTCAAAATATATAAGTTTATCAAATACATATCTTTAGCGATTTTGGTAAAATCATAAACTGTTACTCTCAAATTGCTATACCAAACATATATTTAGTGGAGATCACACTCTAGGATCGTAAATTTGAGTCTTGGTTTGTCATTTTTCTTTCTTTCCTTTTCTTTTTTCTTTTTTTAAAGAAAGATACTAAAGAATGGTGAAGTAATGAATTTAAATAAGTTAGGAGTTGAGTAATGGAGATTTGGTGCAAATAGGGTTATGACTTTTTAAAATTTTTTAATGAAGGATATGATCTCTTTTTTATTAATTAAGGCTTGATTAGTAAAATCACAAAGGTCATATCCTTAATTAGAAACTTAATTAGTAAAAAAAAATGTCATCTTTAATTAGAAAATTTTTGAAAAATTACATCCTAATTTTTACCAAATCTCTTGAGTAATAAGCTATTAGACTCAATTTGACTTGATTTATAGCTTGGAATTTAGATACATAAGTAATTATTATAGGAGAGCAAATAGACCTAAAAGGACTACCATATTGGGCATCCAAAGCATTTAAGAAGTCTCATCTAATATTCTAGCTTTTGTGCCAAAAAGTTAGTTGAGGACCCCACCCTTTGACCTTGTTGTTTACAATTGAAGCTTGTGTTGCAACCCATCTGAGCTTAGCTAGCCTTACATCCATGTCGTCTTCTTTTTCCATGACGAATAGAGAAAGAGCAAGAAAATCTCACTTTTATTCATGCTCCTTAGCCATCGAAGAGAATAAAGGCAGTAATTAAGAGTAACAAGAGGGCGAAAGGGAGCAGCATAAATCGGAGGGGTGAGAGAGAGGTGACTAGGGTTTTAAGGGAGAAAGTAAAATATACTAATAATCTTTGAATCTCCTCAAAATAACAAAAATGAAAAATTAATTCTACATGACATAAGAGAAAGGAAAAGGCATTTGGGCGTTCGGTCCAGTGGCTTCAAGCCACACTTAAAATGCATCTCTTTTTTTT